TGAAGCACCACTTTAGCTAATGGGGTCTCCTGCTGCCGCCGCGCCGCCAGAGCACGATTTTTGTTCTCATCCTGAAGCAAAGTTCTTAACCTGAAGCACTATTTCTGGGTTAGCAGAGTCTGTAACCTGAAGCGTATGTAACCTGAAGCGTATGCAACCTGAGGTACCACTCTACGTGCACAGTTTAGAGAGATTTTGTTTAAGTGATTTATAAATCTTTCTAAATGAATGAATGAATATGTTGTTGATGATGATGATAAAAGGGCATTGGTGTTCCTCCATTTCTTTAACCATCAGAGGATTGGGGAAGGAGGGGGTTTGCAAATGCAACTGAGGATGTGTTCTGGCAATAGGCAAACAGTTTTTACTAAAGTATAAAAATCAAAGCAGCAAAAGGGGGGGGAATATTAAAAGGTTACATAAATTTACAAAGCGTGTTCTCCAATAAATGGGAATCCCTGTCATGGGACCAGGGCCGGCAAGCTTTCGAGGAGCTGCTGGGGTGAGCGGCGTGGGTTCGACGCTTAGCTCAAATGACCCCCAAGTTTGACTTTCCCTTCTACTGGCTACCGATCGGACCTCGGGATGTCAGTTCTGTCCCAGGCGGGGGGACAGATAGTCATAACCAATGTCTAAACAACCACTCACTGATTTTGTATTTTAATAAAGTTGTGGCCAAAATAGTGCCCAAAAAAACAAAACTAAAATTACGTGTTATGTGTGAAGCTATTAAAGGGGTGGCCTGGGGACCTACACATGCAATATGTTCATTTTCATAAAACAATGCCTTAACATGATTCAGCCATTGCTTTAACATGCTCCAGGAATGCCATGCAGGCTGTGGGGAGATGTTGCCACAGAAATGTAACCTATGTGTTCCATGTGGTTTTGTGCATTATTGCGTGTGGGTTGTGGGTTATGGTTATTACTGGAGTTTCCATGATTACTGAGCGGGGATGTTGGGTAAATTCCTGGCAGCATAGCAGTTTATCCGTTACATTAAAGTACAGCTCATATTTCAAAATGTTTCTCCCTCTCTCTGTCTCTCTCTCTCTCTGAGATCATTGCAAAAATAAGAAACAAATGGCATGGCTATCAGCTCTCATTACCAATTGACCAGCAAATGTAAAAACACTAAAAATAGCCACAGGAAGCAATGAATTCTATGACAAATTACAGGGCTGTTTATTTAGTGTGCTAAGTAATAGATTTTTGATCAAAGATAAACAGTTTTAAAAGTTACATTTATTTTGTTGCACAAGGAAAAGGAAATTGCTATTCCCTGCAGGCTGTTTTACCTTGTAAAGCAATCCGTCTTCAAACTCAAAATGAAAGAGAGCCAAAAGCTGAATTAGAGGACAAGGCCCTTGAGATACTGTGTGCTACTATGTTTGGTTGAGAACCACAGATGTTTCATATAATGTACATCAGTACAAAGAACTCTGTGTGAATTTATATATGTGCTGTCCAGAAGCTTTCACGTGCACAGGCTCCCCTTCTTCTGTTATGAAAAGGGGTGATTGCCTCTCTACAACCTCCTTCTGTGGACTTTTTCTGATACCCCTTTCCCCCTCCTAATGCATATATACAGAGTAAGGGGAGTCCAGATGTAAATGTATCTACTGAACATCCTTGACCCCATATTCAGGAGTGGAAAAATGCATGTCTGCCCCATCTCCAATCATAATAGCCATACATCAAGCCATAATATCTGAATGAGTGACTTTTTTACATTTCATACCACACCAACAGCTTTTTTTTAACTCATTCAGGTCAAAATGTACGCTATCAGCTTCTTGAGAAACTTCCCTGACTGTGCCCACTGGATCTTTTATTAAAAAAAGATTGTGTAAATTCTATACAAAACCAATTCTACCCTTTTGTCTGCTTTCTTCTAATAAAAACACAGTACGTTTCCGAGCACAATTCAAAGTGTTGGTGTTGACCTTTAAAGCCCTAAACATCCTTAGTCCTGTATACCTGAAGGAACGTCTCCGCCCCCATCGTTCTGCCCGGACACTGAGGTCCAGCACCGAGGGCTTTCTGGTGGTTCCCTCATTGCGAGAAGCAAAGCTACAGGGAACCAGGCAGAGGGCCTTCTCGGTAGTGGCACCCGCCCTCCCATCAGATGTCAAAGAGATAAACAACTACCTGACATTTAGAAGACATCTGAAGGCAGCCCTGTTCAGGGAAGTTTTTGATGTGTGATTTAATGTATCTTTAATCTTTGTTGGAAGCCGCCCAGAGTGGCTGGGGAAACCCAGCCAGATGAGCGGGGTACAAACAATAAATTATTATTATTATTATTATTATTATTATTATTATCCTTTGGATCAGTCCAAAAGCACATCGAATCCAGCATCCTGTTCTCACAGTGGCCAACCAGATGCCCATGGGAAGTCATCAAGCAGGAAGTGAAAGCAACACCACTCTTCCCAATTGTGGTTCCCAGCAACTGGTGTTCAGAGGCATACTGCTACTGACAGAGGAAGTAGAAAGTAGATGTCATGGCTGGTATCCATTCATAGTCTTACAAACCATGAATTTAACCCTCTTTTAAAGCCATCCAAATTGACAGTTGTCTCAACATCTTGTGGAAGTAAATTTCAAAGTTTTAGCTATGCATTGTGTGACAAAGTACTTTTGTCTGCCTTGAATCTTCCAACACTAGGCTGCATTGGATTGCTCCAAATTCTAGTTTGTCCACACCATGCATAAATATTAACCAAACCCACCAAATGTTGTAACCTTTCCTCATTGCAACCCTTGATCATTTTCGTTGTCCTTTTCTGAACCTTTCTAATCCTTTAGTAGCCATCAGCTGAAGCCAGGAAGGTATTCTTTCCCTACAATTCGCCACTTCTTTCAGGCAACAAAGATGTCTAGAAATTGGACATTATGGTTAGTTATGAATCTCTATGGCTTGAGGCAGCCTGCCTCTGATTTCTGGATCTTTGTGCTATTGTATCATGGCTTGCAAAGGTGAGTTTTCCATGGCACAGGGCTAGACATTGTGGCAAAAAGAGCATTGGATCACATGGAGCATAAATCTGATCCCACAAGGCAGTTACTATGATCTTACACTGCTAGGGCTCTGATTTCTCTCTCTCTCTCTCTCTCTCTCTCACACACACACACACACACACACACACACCAAAAAATTACTTGATAGGTGTTGCTTGTATGCCTGACTGAAATAGGCTGGGCTGAAAACCCATTTCCTGACAGATCAAACTGGTGACCTTTTGGATTCGTCTGTTTTTCACTTCAATACACAGTATAACATACCTAAGCATAATGCCTTGGACAATAAAAGCCAGTTCACATGCATAATGGTTTTGACCTTTCTTTCTCTTTTACTACCAGTAAAGTTCCCAATTCTGCTTGAACGAGAGTCTTTACAATGCTTAAATCTGCAAGCCAGAACCATTTCTCAACATCCACCACCATCACAGGTATTCAGGGACCCTTGAATAGTGCATATTATATTGGTCGGAAACTCTCCACTGCTTGAGGTCCTACAAACCCTGCAGAACAGGTGCTCTACCACTGTACATGAGATCATGACCTGAATTTCCCTGATGCTCCTCACTATTGAGGGACACACAGAGAGTCGATGTGCACCCTTAGTATAGGACTGCCACCACAGTGTGTGTCTTCCTGAGAATATCCTCTTATAGCAGTAATGAGGGCTGTGCAGAAGCTTTGTAGAGCTCAGGAGAAGAACAGTAGTGTCATCAGGGCAGGGCTTTGGGGAAGAAGGCCATGCTTCACTCACCAAAATGAGCAGAACCTCCCCCCGCCTCTCACACCAGGGCTCATTTACCATGTTTCGAAGAAAGTCAAGTAATAGACGTTGATATCCAATAATGACCACCCCCTCGTGGACCATGGAGTCCAAAATGTCAAACTTCACCACAATGGCGGCTACAAGCAGCAAACACCTCGCTCGCCGTGCCTTGTCTTCGTGAGTAAAACTATGGTGAATATGCAAATTGAAGTTAAAAGCTCATTTAAAAATGAAGTTGTATCCTAATGAGAGCCTGCTCTTTCCCACAGTCCTCATGCCAAGTTGGGTTTGCACTTTAAAGGGAGGTCACACAGTTTAGCAATAAAGCAGAGCAAAAGAGAAAAACCGTTTTACTTAATTTTGGGGAGGAAGTGTCATGCCTGGGGAAGTATTACAGTATTTTACTAATCAGCTGCAATGCTCATTAGGCTGCTTATTATATCTCAAGCACTTGTATTTGTTGAAGAAGCAGCAACTGAGATAAAAGAAATTTGAAAGTGAAATCATTACAAATTTGAGTCAGTGCCTTTTGCAGTTAGGAAGCCTGCTCTATTATCCTTAATGAGCTGGTGCCCCAACCTCTGGAAATAGATCCATAGAGTCTAACCTCTTTTGAACTTACTCAAAAATACTCTGTGATGTGAATTCATAAAGAGAGAATTTATTGTTTACCGAATATCATTTTTAAACATCTGTTTCACCCAGTTTTTTGAAACGTGCACACCCCTAGGTACGTTTTAATTTAAGCCACCCCTTTCTGTTAGCCAGTCACCTGGAGCAAGCAGCTCCTTCTAGCTAACTCACTTGGCAAATCCATTCCTTGAGGTGTTTGTGACGGGCACACAAATACATCAGTGCTAGCAGTGAATGGATTTTAATATTTTTAATGGCTGATTTAAAAGATCAGGACCACAGTTATATAGCACAGCGGGAACAGGAAAGAAACATTGTGGTAAAGCAACTGGGAAAATCTTAATATTGTAGTTTGAATCTAAAGAAGTTTTTATTTAAGCAATGGTTTCCAAGTTTCCTAAACGGGAGGAAATGAATAAATAATAAATTAGGACCTTCAACTCAGCACGTATTGAATGCACATAAGAACACCGAAATCAATCGGCTTGAGAACATTTAAACCTGTTTGGAATTGTGGCCTCAGTTGTCCTATTTATATCAATAGGAGCAGAACTGCATGCCTAGCATCTACTCCCTGGCTCCAGGGATGGCTCAGTTGGTAGATCATGAGACTCAAAATTTCAGGTTTGTGGGTTCAAGCCCCACATTGGGCAAAGATTCCTGCATTGCAGGGGGTTGGACTAGATGACCCCTGTGGTACCTTCCAATTATGCAATTCCTTGATTCTATGATACTCCATGTGATGTTTTTGCATGCAGTTAAGTACATAAATCTTTCCTTGAGCTCAGCCTCTCATGCTAAAGGTCAGAAAATGCAAAAATATAAAAAATATAAAAATGTTCATAGGAGGGGAGGATGTGATGGGGAATTGCACAGTACCCTTAGTGAGTAAGTTTCTATTGTTCTTGCAGGGAACCAACTATCAGGTTCCTTTTTACCTATATCCTAGGCACTCTTGCAGCTTTAAAGCACTGTTATTGTTTTAATAATGGATCTCACATAAAAATGTATCATATGCAAATGCCCAAATTGTAGGACTGAAGGAGGAATACATCACTGTTAATTAGGAAATTTTGAAGAGATATATACTGCTGTAAGAAAAATACCAGACTAGAAGACATGAAAAACATTTATGTTTTAATAGTTTCCTTTGGGATGACCTTAACTATGCTAATTGGCCTTTGATGAAGTATGAGGGGGGACTGTTGAGTTAAATGGTCAACATGCTCATTATTTAAAGAATAACATTTTTCTAGAACTAAAGTAACCCAGAATACATTCAAGATATAACCTTGCTCTTGGGCACTTTACAGTTTTAATGCAGGTCTCTGCATCAGACCAAATCCTGTAGTGAACTATAAAATGTATTATATGACTTTGCCACCTTGCATATTCCCCACCCACCCAAGGAGCGGGGAACATGCAGAGAAATGCCACATGTTTCTAACAGCATGATCCTATGCTCCCCCCCCCCCGAAGTAAATACATCCACTTCAAAGAAATTAACTAAGGGCTCGTCCACAATTCTGATTGTGTTGTACCTAGAAAGCACTGATCTGAATGGTTTTCTGCTTGACCTGCTTGACTTTCTAGGCATGTGTCTGAGTGGTTTCTCCCATACCGTACTTCTTTCCAAGGGAAAACCCACTCCTTAGTGATAGATCAGAACAAATGGGGGACACCTAGATTGCCAGTAACACACGTGAAATGGATCTAGGGGACTTAGTAGACCCCAAGCTTACCATGAATCAACAGTGTGACGCCGGAGCAAAAGAAAAAGAAAAGGCTAATGCTTTTCTAGACTACATCAACAGAAGTACAGCAAGAGAAGTAATAGTACCATTCTATTCTTCCATGGTCAGACCACACCTGGAATACTGTGTCCAGTTCTGGGCACCACAATTTAAGGAGGATATTGACAAGCTGTGCAGAGGAGGGTGAACAAGATGATCAAGGGTAGATGGAAACCAAGCCTGATGAGGAACAGTTGTAGGAGTTGAGAATAAGAGCTGTTCAACAGAGGAACAGTCTCCCTTGGTTTGATGTTACAAAAAAAGAGATTCTGATTCTAAATATCAGGAAGAACTTTCAGATGGTAAGAGCTGTTCTACAGTGGAATAGACTCCCTCAGGAGGTTGTGGACTCTCCTTCCTTGGAGGTTTTTATGCAGAGGTTGAGTGGCCATCTGTCCCATATGCTTTCATTGAGATTCCTGCATTGCAGGGAGTTGGACTAGATGACCCACAGTGTATCTGTTGGCGATTTTGACTTTTCAGTAAGAAATTAAAAGCACAGAGAATATAACCAAGACAACAAAAGGAAAAGATAGTAACTTTAGTGGACAAGCCTGGCATTAGCACCCGGCAGCCTTGGGCAACTGCAAGTGTGAATTCCCACCTATGGGTTTATGTAGTGGTGTCCATGGCAAGTAAGCATCTAAGTTTGTTACAATAGCTCAACATAGCTTTAGAGTATTATTGGAAATTAAAATGGAGGAAGGGGCCCATCACATCGTACAGTATGTTTTCTTAGGACCCCTCAGACTTGGAGAAGGTCCTTCTTAGTGGACACTGGAGTGTTTCCTTCAGTGATGGAGTTATTCATATTTACCTGTTTCATAGCACTAGTTGCAGGTGAGGTTTATGGGTGCACTTAACACTTAATATCCTCTACTGCTCTTCCCCATATATATATATATATATATATTCCAAAGCCAACTTCCTGCCAGGAAGATCACATAAATGAAGGTATTTTATGAAATCTCAACCCCTAAATGAGAGATAAAATGGCTCAACTCACACAGTTTCCTCTCATTTGAAGACTCTGGGGGGGAAATGTAAAAACATGTACATTTATATAGAAAGGAGGGCGTTGGACTCCCCCCCTTCAATGTCATATGAGGAGGATTGTAACTAAATAGTAATAGCAGATCGTTTAAACTAATAATTGGTGTTCATAATAAGGGTTGTACTGATAACCAGCTGTGCATCTGCCCTCAATCCCTGTAGCGAGGAAGGGGAAGGAAGTCTGCAAATGATTACCAACTTCCAAGTATTTCTTGCAGTCAAAGTTTTATTTTTTAAAAAATTAGTAAAATACCTTTTTACTGTTTAAAAATATATCCCAGTTTGAAAGTAGGCCTATTTAAAGAGTTTAGAATAGAACAGCTGTGCACTGTGTAAATCAAGGGCATTGCCCAGTTGGGCTGCCGGCCTACATTGTAGACTGAGTCTGCAGTAAAAGCTCTTCTCCTCCCAATTAGAGAATAAAGGTTGAGGTGCCTACCAGCCTTTCAGCATGTTTGGTGTGACTTTTCACTCCAGACTTTACCCTCTTTATATCATTGTCTCTTGCAGTTGCTTCCCTGTCATGCTAGTGGTGTCCAGTAATGCAACACGAGGTCAGGACGGGTTATAGTTTTGATTGTGCACTTTTGTTTTCCTGGGGTTTTGTAAGTCAACCCTCAAACCCTATTCCATTTCAATCTGTTATAACTAGAGTCAAAACCTCAGTGAATGGTTTTGACTCTATATTTTCCATTTTCAACAAATCAATTTGAACCTGTTGACGTGCACAGCATTACACCTTTTTCAATGATAAAATGCAGCAATTTCCTAATCAGTTTCACGGGACAGCTGTAAATTCAAACCAGCTCAATGAATGATAGAAATGTGTTCAGAGCAGGAAACATTTTGACTTCGAATTCTGTTTTCTATGAATATTCAACAGCAGCATTCACACAACAAAATTCTGAGGAGCATTTGTGGAACCAAATTTCTGTTAGCTGTAGAAAATAAAATCATTAGTAGAGTCTTGTTAAAACAAATGTACCATCAGCCTGCTGAGTTGTTTCAGCTTGAGTTAACCTTTCTTTTTCAACCATTTAGGAGCGCAGGATGCAACCTCATTCCACTGCCTACTCAGTTGCCAGGGGAAGAGGTTATCCATTTGCAGGAACAAAGAAACTTAGCTGCCCTGTTTCACCCTTCAGTTCTGGCTTACAAGAAACCCAGTTCATTTTACCTCTGAATTCATTTTTAAGGCTACAATGCAAACCACAGATCTGTCAGACTGTGGAGGGTTTGGATAAGGCAGAAGTGCCTCTCTCTGGCAGTTAGAGGATGCTAGCAGAAGCAGAAATAGATATAGCCATGTATAAATGTATCGCAAGAAGCAGCCCTAAAAACAGTGGTGCTGTTGGTTTATTAGTAAATGTGGGGTTTGAAGTCAAGCCAGCTTCCTCAGCAGCTGGGCATGGAGAGGTGCCATGCAAGAGCAAAGTGAAAGCAGAATCATTACCCCAGCAAAAGGTGAGACATTAAGCATCAGACAAGAAAGGGAGAGGCTGCCAAGATTACAGGGACCGTGATGTTACCACAGAAAAAACTGCCTTTTGCAGGAGGCTTTGGAAATGGAGGTTACAGAAAGATGGTAGAAGCGGAAGGGGAGGAGTTGTTTTTCTGCAAAGACTGCTGGGAAGATGGAGGAGGAAGTAGGCCAAGGGACACGGGGCCATTTCTGGCTGTTGCTTGCGACCCAAGCTTGCTGAAGCTACGAAAGGAGCAATGGGGCATAATGTTCAGCACTCCTTCCATTGAAGTCTCTAGGTGTAAATATGTGTAAAATAAACCATGATTTTAAAAGACACCACAGTCTTCACCACATCTTGATTGATTCCCAATGGAAGCATGACCCAGAGTAAGTGCCTGGAATCCCCTAGAATCTTGCTCCCACTCAGCAGCGATTGCAGGTGGCGCACAACCTTTGTAACAATATTTTATGTCTGAATCGCAAATATGGAAACATCTGTCACAATACGAACCTTTTTTAGGGGTGTGATGTTTTCCGATTTAAAATAAAGTATTGAACATTCATAAAACTTGGCTGCATAATAAAAAGTGAAACTTCCCATTCTAACTTGATTTTTAATGCAATTGGGTGTATGTTCACTCAGAACTAAGTCTCTCTGGGTTCAATGGTGGTTATTTTCTAATAAGATTGCTTAGGATTGCAGCCTTAGCATGTTAAAAAAGAAAAATCATTGATCAAATGTGTTCTAATTTTTCTGAACAAAAACCTACCCTGCCATATGGCATAAACAGTGTTATTATTAGTTATTTTCTTGTCCACAGTGCTATTAATATTTGAAAATCACTTCTTGTTGGCAATTAGCAAATTCACATTTTATCGGGGGGGGGGAACCACCCTCCAAGTTATTGGGTTACAAAGTGAATTGTTCTGCAGCTGCAGAATCAAGTGCTTTAGCTGAGTTAATGCTTTTCATTTCTTTTGCATGTGTCAGCATTAATGGAGGCAAGCTTCTATAAAGCCTTGCATGTGAAGATGGTGCTGAGCAGACTAGATTCAGTTCTGTTGAATGCTTTTTGCATTTTCTTTCTTTCTTTCTTTCTTTTCTTTCTTTTTTTGAATAACACACAAAAGGAGACTTCAAATCAGGCTGAACTTCAAGTAAAAGTTAATGCTATTCTCTTTTGGGTTCAACCACCCACTTTGCTTAAGGTCACTAGTTGAGGCTAATGCTGTGCAGAGGGGCTGCAGCAAACTTGGCACCTCCTTGATTAGGCTCCCTGCTGATCTAATACACATACCAGCTCACTTGCCAAGTCAAATAACACATTTAGTGAATTGGAAA